ATCAAATAACGGATATTCTAGGATCTCTTTTCATGATTTTTTAGCGCCTTGGTTATGGTTTTGTATCGTAAGACAATACTTGTTATTATTTGAGACTTCGCGAAACCTTATAGAATTTTTTGCTACTCTTTGGGATTCTTCGGAATTTCTGAGAACGTAAATATTTTTTTAAAAGTTCCGCGGGACTTTGTTTGGAACTCTTCGTTTAGTTTTGGGCTTTGATGGGATTTTTAAATCCTAGTTTTCTGTTTTTTAGACACTTTCTGGGGATGCATTAAGCAAATTTTGTTAGTGGTTCTTAGTTTTTTTTTTGGCTTTTTTCTGAAACCTTCTGTTAATCTTCGTTTTTTTTTCGCAAGCATTCTCGTGTTTTTTTTTTGGTCGACTACTCGGGTTTTTCGTGTGTTTTGTAGTAATTTACTTTAATGATTTATCGGGAATTTTAAGATGTTTTTAAATATTTTTTTGTATATTCAGTAATTTTCTATTTATTTTAGGAATTTATTTCAAAACCTTAGCAATAGTACTTATGGCGGTTTTCGGAAGTTTTTTTTTAATAATTTTCCAGTGCCCTTTCGCCATTACGAAAGTTCTCGATATTTCTCGGGATTTTCGTGGATTTTTGCGATTGCTTTTTAACTTTTAGGTTTCTCTGCAGACGTTTGACTTATTTTTCGATAGCTCTGAAATGTTTTTTTTTTTTTTAAATAAGTATTTGGCCGTTTTCAATATTTTTTGGGGGTTCTCGGGCTTGTCAGTTTGTTTTTTTTTTTTTGATATTCCGAGGCTTTATGTTCTTCAAGGGTAATCTGCGATGGGATATCTCGGAAATATTTTTGAGTTTCTCGAAAATTTCTCGATAACTTTTTTAAGATTTCCCGAGACTTTTTCGCTTCTTTTCGAGAATTTTCGGGGTTTTTGAGGCTTTCCAGACCGGTTCGTACTTTCCGGTATTTAAAACAGGATTATCCGGACAGGATGCTTATAAAATTCTTCGGGCTATTATGATGTTGCTACATTTTTGCAGAGTTTTTAGATTTTCGTGTCTTTTGGGTTTTATCTTTACAAATTTAATTATGTAAAATGCTATATTTGTCCAATAAATAGTTATTCTATTTATTGCCAAAAACACAGCTCAAAGTTACTACTATTACTATTACTATTAATTGATTTGCAATAAAAGTGACTGAGCAACAGAAAAGTGCGATAAAAATACAAAACATTGTGTTAAAAAAAAATACCGGATTATAATTAAAATATACGAAATACATAAACTAAAGGAGGAAAATAGTGGCAAATAGAAATAATTTATGATTTCTGATTATGGGTAATTATATTGTAACATGCAAGCGAAAGTGTCTTTGCTTCTTTTAAATACATGCTGGCAAGAGCGAAAGCGCAGTAAATCGCTTCTACGCAATAAAAAGTTGAATTATATTTTTCAAATCGTTATTTCTTCTTACGCAGAGTTAGAGTCCTTAGCCAAGAAAAGGTTTACTTATAAGGAGCTTTTCATAATTTAACATGCTTATTGAAACATTTCAACGTTTATGGCGTACCTGAAGTATGCTTAGTAAAATCGAAGCGTAAAAATGTAAGCCCAGCTACCCGATATGCGAAGGGCATTAAAATAAGCTGCACATGCTATACAAGCTTAGCAAAAAAAAAAAGTACAGCAATTAACTGAAAAATAAAGCAACCACAAAAAGTTAAGTATACGCTAGGGCGCAAAAGCTCGCGGCATTATTTATGAGAGCTGTGAAGAAAAATGGTTATAAATTTAATACAAATGCACACACTCATACAAAAACGTTTATGTAAGTATGTATGTTCATATTTCGCCGGCCTTTATGAGAGCAAATTATTTTTTTACGCTTTTATGAGTGCTCGAAGTAATTGCTGAGTAGCACGTCAGGCGTGTACAAAACGCACAGCTGTGAAGGTCACAATAAAAAAAGCGAATAAATAAGTTAGCGAATGAAAGAAAAACGAAGCGAGTGAAAAATTAAAATTCCATAGGTTCGCTGGTTTGTTTGCCATTTCAGCTTTATTTATTTTTTTATTTGTTCATGTTTTTTTCGTTTTAAATTTTTTTTAATTTTTTTTTGCATTTTAAACTCTTTCATCCACAATAACAACTGCACATCTATGCATTTACTGCTTTAATTTTATGTTTGGAATGACCAGTCACTCAGTTGGCGCCAACGTTTTGGAGGTCATTCGCACCGCGCTGCGGCAAAACAGAGTCAAGGTCTCGAGCGCCCTTCGCGCTGACCAGCTGCTGCGCACTTGTGGTCGTTGAGCAATAAATGTTGTAAAAAATACTAACTTTATGCAAAAAAGGGGAAAACTAAAATGCAGGTGAAAGTGAAAGTGCTAGTGAAATTAAGCATTTCGTAAAACTGCTGTCGCCTATTTGTCCCTTGACGGGCACAAAGCTTAAAAATGTGCTAATGCGCCTAAAGTTATGCAAATATTGGCATGTTGTGACAGTTGTGTGCCAAAGGCAGATTGCGTGACATTAAGTAATAAGGATTAACAAAAAACACATGCAAATAATGGAAACACACATTTTGGCAAAGCATACTCTGATATTAATTTTCCAAAGCTTTTTAGCCTTAACGAATAGCTTAGTACCTACCTACAATAGCGTATGATTTTTTAAATATAGCCAACTGCTTAAGTGAACACGTGCTATAGAGTGGCGATATCTTTTAACGATATCGTTTAACATTGATATTGATAACGATAGCGATAAAAATACCAATGAATTTTTCAATAAATTTCAAGTATTATAAGTACCAGGTTGACCGAGCTTTTCTAGGAGCGCATACACTTTTTAAAGTTTTCAAGGTTTGGGTTTCAAATACTTGTCATTTGTATAGCATTAAAACATATTTTGGAAATAATATTTAAAAAATGTGGATTTTTATATCTATGAAAGAGTAAATTTTTTACTTTAAAATTTATGTGGCAACCCTGTTTAGAAATACGCTGGAATGAATAGTACATTTCTTGATCGTATATGTACTCCTGATTGAAATTGACAAAATACGAATTTGTATTACACAGAAGCGTGGCAACCCTGATTTTATAATGTGTGTGATTGTGAGTTGTGGTGAGCAATATAACATGACATAAAAAATTTTAATCTTCATTTTCCACAATATTTATCTCCTTATCTTTATCTCTATCCCTCTAAATATCTTTGTCTCAATCCTCTTCTTTATATTTTATTTTTCGTCTATATCTTTGATTTGAGTTAAGTTGAGTTGAAGTGAAGTTAGGTTAGCAATATTGCCTATAAGAATCTTCAGTTTCATTTTTATTTTGCTCTTTTTTTTTCTTATATACATATTTGCCTTTATTTCTTATATCTTCAACTCATCTCTATTCCTTTCTTCTACATACATATTCACATTCGCCTACACGGATAAGTATTAGTTATTGAAATTTACATCCATCTTTGTTTTTGCATAACTTAATTTGTGTCTCTATTTTAATCTTAGCCTTTATTCTCTCCTTCATCTACATATCCATTTTTACCTTTATCCTGGAATTAATCGTTATCTAGATCTTATCCTTAAACCACTACGTAAACGTTAGCTTAATTCAATATCAATTTTAAAGCATGAATTTAGGGGGAATCTCCCAACCCTAAAACCCGCTAAATATGTTCACCTCAAAAAATCGTCAGTGTATTTGCTTCTTAAATTGGTCGGCGAAAGGCTATTCTGTGAGTTAGGCTTGTGTCAACTAGCAGCTGTCAGATACCCCCTCCGAGAAACTGCCTCCTTCTTATACATTTCAAAAAAAAAAAAAAAGGTTGACGCGACTGAGATATTATTCGTACATAGTAAATGCTAACTTGAGAGATATTTCAAGCACGAGCTTAAGTAAGCAGAGACAAAGAGCAACGTATAAGTGCTATTTCGATGGCATGACTTAAAAAAAAAAATGGAAAATAAGAAGCTGCTGACCAGCCGAAAGTGAAGAGCATTTGACAGCAATAAATAAGGCAGGCAAATTGCGGACGTAGATGGCGCCGTTGATATGAATGAGATCTTCTAAATAAAAAGAAAATTTTAAGTTACTAATGAGTTTGCTGATGATGAGGACTACCGACCATAAGGACATTTTTGTTTTTAAAATGCTAATGATAATCACTCAACGGCTGCCATGTTGTGACGCAAGCTATTTTATTTGACAGTTGCTTACTTATTTCAGCTTTTTCATGCTCTTATACCGCTGCTGATAGTAATGCAACGGAACTGATACTGTTAGCAGCGCCGCTGTCTACTACTTGCCTGCTGTTCAGTAGCCTGAAAGTTGATGAAGGTTGTGTTGAGTGCAGCAAAGAATTAAGTGGATAATATTCCGCCCGTGCAATCACTATCTCAGAGCTCACACCTTTTTAGCTCTCTATCTATGCTGACATGTTTTTAATTAAACTGAAGAATACTGGAAGGCGCCTAGCCTTTACACTACACTTCACTTCATCCAATTTGCCTTTCATTCCACTTTTTCCACTACCTGCTGGTTGGCATTTTATTTGCTTTCATTAAACATCGCTTGATGGTAATCAGGTTGCTACTGCTCCATCACTTAAACGCCTGCATCAGTTTGTCAAGCAAACTTTTGCATATCTGTCATTTTGTAAATGTATTCGCCTTGGGTGTGCACCTGGCAAACTTTATCCATATTTTAGCTTTGTGCGCACGATTTTAAAAATTAGAATAATAAGCAAGTGTTGCTATTAGGGAAATATTAACTTTCAGGTTGGAGTAAAAAAATTACGGTAATAATAAAATTGTTTAGTATACTACTTGCTAGCTGCTGAAAGTTTTTATAAAGTTTGAGGATTTTAAAATATGCATGGAAAGCTTGTTGTACATAGCTTAAACTTTTTTATTACAAAAAATTCGATATCACTTAGCTGAAGATAATTAAGACAAAGAATTTTCTCTCTCTCTCTCTCTTTTTCTTTCTTTCTCCAACAGGATGGCGCATCAACGTCCACAATTGCTTGTCATCTCAATTTCCCTGCTTTATTGGTTTCGTCATACAGGCGAATGTTGGAAATTCGATGGCGGTGGTCCGGGTGCACTCGGTCCCGGTGCACCGATACATAACAGCCCATCTCCGCTGCTGCTAAATGCGCCCACATTTATTGCCACCTATACACATTCGCGTGCGGCACGTAGCGCTTCAGCGACACCAGGTAGTGGTGGTGGTGCTTCCGCTGCGGCTGCACGTGGTCCACCGCCAGCTGTGCCGCCGCCAAGCGGGAATGGTGGTGTTATGGCAGGCGGCAGCTTCTCGGCACTGTTAAATGGCCAACAACAGGATATTTTGTATGCTTGTCCGTTGAATAGTATGTGCCAGTGTGCAGGTTTGCCCAACGAGACGTCCACATTGATCGAAATCAATTGCAATGAAGTGGCGCTGTATAAATTTCCAGGTGAGTCAAGTGAATAATTTTTAAAGGATTTAAAAGAGTATTCTATTGAGTAAAAAAGCTATTTCTTTATTTTTTCAAAATAATAAGTCGTTAAGTTTTTCGTGACTAATGATTTTGCAGCAAATTACTTGGAAAAAGTTGTAACCAGCAAAATGTTTTTCGTTTTGTTATTTTAATGGGCTGAAGTTTCAGGTAAACGATGAAAATTATTCTCATAAGAATAAGAATTCCCGCACTTAGGTACTAATCAGATGGTGAATATAACAATGAGTTCCTATTCCCATGAGAATTATGCTCGTCGATTGCCAGAACCTTAATACCACTTCCCACATGTCCTGGGTGAACTGTTGCACCTGATCTAGAGAATGTGGACTGAACCTCAACCCGCAAAAACGGTCACAATTCTCTTTACACAGAAAATTAAAATCCCGCTATTTCAATTTCCTACATGAAAAGGGGCAATACTGTTACTCTCTAATGAAGTGAAATGCTTGGGCGCCATATGGTACAGCAAACTGACATGGCAAAGTAACATAGAGAAGCGGACCAAGAAGTCCATTACAACCCCCTACGCCAGCAAAACGGCTATTGACATTGAAATTGCGTCTCAAAGCCCACATTGTGCATTGGATTTATGCAGCAGTTGTACGTCCTAAATTATTCCACTATATTGAAGTCTGGTGGACAACACTGGATAAGTCGCTCACTAATTCTTAACTTACCAAGGTTCAAAGGGCGGCATGCATGCTAATTACAGGTGTGCTGCCATACATGCCCATCAAAGCCATAGAAACTCTCCCAAACTTACCCACAGACCCTTTTTTGGGAAGCTACATGCGAGCTGCAATGCAGTAAGAATAAATGCACTATCAAAATGGAAAGCCATCAGATTCGGTCAGACCAACATTCTAACTAACTACCCCGATACGTTTGGGTGGCCAGATTACATAACACAACCGCTGGAGCTCGAAACAAGCTCTCTATTCCTTCGAAGAAGGACAAGATAACTCCACAGCCATCCATAGGGAGTGCTCAAACTAAATCTAAGAGTAGGAAGTGGTATACACTCACAGTACCACTCATTAGACCACCGCAGTATCTTCCAAGCAGAACTCACGGCCATAAAATAGGCTGCATTCTTCAGCTTTCAAGTCACTAGATTGAATTTAGGAAAGTCCTTAACGTATTAACTTCAAAGTCTACTTCTCATATTGTGTAGATTCGATTGGAGCCATTTTTAGGGGCAAGCATAGCGGGAACGATTGGCTACATCAAGGATCTCATAAACAATACTCATCAGAGCCGTTGGTGCACTATTTATTGACACCATGCAAAATAACCAAAATTCCATATCGGAAAAAGAAGGAGTGATCTACGAGCCCTGATTGCACTTTTTACGGGGCACAATCCATGGGGACGACATAGAAGCATTGAGTTTGCACACCCACCTATATATCCCCTTCTTCTAAATCCTTTCCCTTGGCCTTAAGTACAATGGGCAATACGGCCCGAGTGCTAGGAATTTTTCTACTTTTTTTCCGGCAATTCCATTCCATTCAGTCCTGCTGTGTGTCGCTAATTTTGATAACCAAGAATCGCTCAAATAAAAGCAGTGTGTCATACTGCCAGATGTAGCTTATTATACATTAGATTTGGACTCTCATTTAGAGAATTTTAATGAGAATTATAAAATGGCGTGGCTCAAAACACGTGACAATCAACTTGATTCTTTTAATTTATGTGATTTTTAAGTCGAGGTAAGCATTTTGGTTGGCGAGATTTTTATTGACAGTCTATCGGAAAGGGCTCTTGTTACTAGCTAGTTGTTTGTTTGCTATCTAAGATGTGATGCCGATTCAGTCTAGTAGGAATGTTCTTCATGAAAGTAATAATTTCATTTATCCAAGCATAGCTGTGCCTCTAGAGGAGAGAGACATAAACTAAGCAGTAGATTAGCATAAACGAAATGATAAGAAACCTACATTGGTTTTTTAGGAATTTGCCCTTTCATCTATTTTCTTTTCGTTTTATGTTACCATTTTTTGCATTAATTTAATATTCCATCATTTTTAGGAAACACCGCAATGTTTCCACCCAATGGACCAACTATAAAAAAATTACCCTTTTGCATCCTTTAAACAGCCAACCTTTTTTGTACACAATGATTCTCAACAATTAAAATCTTCTACTACACTTCATCATCATAAATCTTATTGTTGGCTCGTTCTTTTTGTACTTTCGCCACTTTGTAGTCGAATGTTGACAATTGAAGGGCACTTCAAACGGCAGCAGTATAGCTAAACGCAATACAAAGTTGTTAGATTGAGCGATTTTCTTAAAATAACCAAATTAAAATGGGTTGTACGAAGTAAAGTGGTGGTGGTGGCGAAGGGATGAACTGTAGAAATTGCTTAGGGTTCAAAAATAGAATCTAAGTATTTTACCATTTTTTCGCTGATAGAAGAAAATGTTCAAACAGATTATAACGATTAACTGAAACGTGCCATGGTTAAGTACTTTGGGATGCAAATTGAATATTCTAATGCATCACAAAGGAAAAGATTATAAAATATTTATTTTTCAAACGGGCGTTGACACAAACGGTTGCTGTGGATAAGGGTTTTTATTATACCCGAGCGCACTTGTGCACAAGGGTATATTAATTTTGTTCAC